TAAATCAACTTGTTCTTATGTGGATCAAACGGTGTACAAATTTTTTGCATAACAATTCAACTTACTACAAGTACAACTGTATCTATTCGATAAACTGTTGATTACCAGTTGTTCATCAGATTCCCAACAACACACAGTGATTCCATCTAACACAACACTACTAGAGTCCAAATCAGTACAATCGCTGCCTTGAAGACATGAACCTTTAACAGCTAAAATTGATTTTCCACATAGTTATTGGTATAGGAAATACCACTTTTATGCATTTGACTTGAACAATAATGACGGGCAGTGCAATTCCGTATGTGGGGAAATCTTTAAGGTGGCAGATTTTATGAAAAAAACAAGCCATGAATTATTATTTCTGTTATCTTCATTATAAGTTTTATCATTATTTACAGCGATATAAAGCGTGTTCAAAGCTCATTCATAGATGCAAACTATCGATGATGTTATTTCAATATGGTCCTGAAAACCATTTCGTTTCCGAGCTTATTCTCGCTCGTTTGTAGTTTCGTCTTTTCAGGAAGTCATTTCGTTCAAATCAACAGGAATATACATTAACAAGTTATTGATGAGAAAAACTCTTATCTATATAGTAGAATTCAATACTTACAGCATGCAATTAATGTACACAGAGAAATGCCATTACTACAAGTACAGGTATTGCAGTCTATCTTGAACTGTTCTCCATCTTCATAGATGATGCCATTTTCAACACATTAATTTCACAATATTTGATGGATCTCAAACAAATGCGTAAACTATTGAATACATTAATGAAAAAGGAAGTAGCTTTGTATGTGAGGTCGGGTATTCAAAAGGAGAAATTCTAAATGGACTCAACGGAATGGCAGACGGACATAATTATCATAAATAAAATGGTATATTAAATAATGCTTACTGGGCTGACATTCTTTTTCTGTGCAGACAGAATTACCATCAACGCATGTACAAATATTACAGTCATCTTTATATCTTTCACCATTGTAGTACACCTTTCCATCAACTTCACAATCTTCAAATTTTAATGAAAAATATATTTCACGAAGATTCTGTTGTCAAAATGACAAGACCATCATTAGTATAATATGCTAATCTTGTAACGTTGCGAAAACGGTTGCGTGTATTTTGTAAAGACATAATTGTCTATCTTATACCCCTTTTCGGCAGCGGATGTTGACTCGGAGAAGACATGTGAAGGCTAGCAGGGAGAAAACAATTGAGAAAGGATGACCAGCAGAAAGAAGACAAGTAAAATAAGAGAAGTATCATGGATTGCACGAAGTACAAAGCAACATCTACATTGAATGGAAGAGGTTGTGGCATCTAAAATATTGGTCAAACAATACAAACATACCTCGACTTGAAGGATGACAGGCCATTTTGGTACATCCCGCACCTCCTCTAATACAACGACAATTGTTACACTCTATTTGGAAGTTTTCTCCTTCTTCATACGTTATTCCATTGTGCTCACATGTGCCTGAAAATTCAAGATTGATATATGAAAGTACCAGCATTATGCACTTAAAGCATACAAACATCACAAAATAAGGCTGATTCTTAAGGCGAATGGCTCGGCGATAATGGAATGGATTTGACAATTCTTAAGAAAAATGACGACACAAAGAGTTATTTGATAATGCTTACTTGGCAGACAGGCTTTTTCTGTGCAGACGGAATTACCATCAACGCATGTACAAATATTACAGTCATCTTTATATCTTTCACCATTGTAGTACACCTTTCCATTAACTTCACAATCTTCAAGTTTTAATGAAAAATATATTTCAAGCAGAAGATAACAAGACCAGATAGTATAAGAGGGACAATCGATGTGACAATCTTGAGACGTG